ATTACACAGAAACACATTTTTAAGGGGTTAAGCATATGCAATTTAGTTTACGTTAAAGGAAAATGTGTGTAGAATCAAAATAAGAGTAAAATAAACATTTACACATTATTATTATTATTATTATGGTTTGCGAATTTTCGATACTAAACACAAGATGAAAACATTATTTTTTTTAAAGTTTAAAAAGTGTAAATGGTGTAATTGGATTATTGATGACCAGATGGGATGTAAAAAATCTATACTTATGCTCTACATTTAACCATCGGGATTGAGACTACTTCGGTATCTGCTGTCAAACTATGCCCGATTAGCGCGATAGAAAAATATAACATAATATAGTGAAGAATATTCTATAACATATATTTTTTTTTTTAATTTTAAAATATAGTATTTACATTCTGTAACATAAGTACAATAAACAAATAGGGTTTTTTTTTACAAAACATTTACATAGTTATATAATGAGGTGGGAGGCTGTCCAGTGACAGAATCTTCATGGTATAACAACTTAAACTATAAAAATGAACAAAAAAATGAACAATACACAATGCGTACATCGTCGCAAACCACCTCCACTGCCGCCATATAGCAATTACAACAAAAATTTAAATATTATTTTCAATTATATAACGTTATACTGCTGAGAACTAAAAGTGTTAAATCTAATAGAAAACAATTGCATATAGGAAAAAGGCTGTTCTGAAAGTTTATCGTGTTCATTTTTCAACCTAAGCTTATATATATATATATATATAATATATATGTATATATTCATTTATTCGAAAAATTTACCAATTTTCTGTTATATAATTATTGTGAATTTCAAATTAATATCAGCAAGGTCCATACAATTTTCGATTAATTCTAATTTTAAAAACAACGAATTTGTAATATTTTACCTATTTTAACTTTATCGCAATAAAAACACGTTGTGTGCTTATTTATACCTACCTACTGYACGGTAGATTAAACATGTCCAATCGTGTATGCACATAAAAAATTATAGTCATACTTAATAGACCCTATACTGTTTACTTCCATTATTTAATAACTTTTTATTGATTAACAATAATTAAATTATTAATTTAACAATATTATAGTGTATACATTAAAATATAATATATATCTCCGTTATCCGATCGGTATTAATATTAAATTACCATTGGGTTAATGATTAAAATTTGCGTTTAATCAAAAATATTTATGTACCGTTAAATGACTGCTTCACTCTGTTTTATTAAACTGCAGTGCAGTAGTACAGGTATGTATARTGAAAATTCCCAAGTATGATTCATACGCCAACGTGATTAAACCGTAGTGCAGATATTTTATAGAAAAATTTAACTCTAATAAGTTTTATGGTTTTCTTGAAATGTTTAGTGATAATTGTTACACAACACTCTAGCTCATGATAAATAATTATATTATCATCATTCATCATGCTGCAGAAAAATATATGATATCAATGTTTTAGGATTATTTTCCCTCGGAATAGGCATTGACTATATAGGTACAACTTACTGTTAGGTATAATATCAACGTTTGTCTTCCATTAACGATATAATATATTATTATTGAATCAACAATTGTGTGTATGATGTTAACTATAATTTATTAAGATTAACGTTAATAATTATAAGTGGTACGCGATTGTTAAATACAATACTTTTATCAAGGCTTTCTTGCATTTAATTATTAACGATTAAACAATAATTAATATTTTAGCACTGCGCTATTGCTTGTACCAGATATTTAAGACATTTCAAGCACAGCGCAGCTGCAGCCGCAGTGTCACAGCATTGTGACATCAATGTGCAGGGCATTAATAATTTTAAAAGGATTATACTATGATGTATGTAAAAATCACCACGCATTCGCTATTGTGTATACAATCAAATACGAAATAATTAACTCAAAGTATTTATCACATTTGCCCATGATAAACATAATCATACATCAAGAAATAAACGTTATTTTAGGTACAGTGAATAAAAAGTCGAAAATAAATAAATAATTTTAGTCTTCAATAACGAATTCAAAATAATTACTTTTTTGGAATAATACTCTTTGATTAKAATACGTATTTTATGCATGTATTCATTGTTATGTTTGAGTAGCATTTTTGTATAAATAAACAAGCAATTGAAAATGTGATAAAAATAAAAAAATAATTTTAAAATCAATTTAATAATTATATTGTTAACCTTACGTTATGCAAAGTATTAGTTACGATTATTACAAATATAAAGTAGTATAACTTCTATAATATTTGAATAAAGATAATGACTTCTGAATGATACGATAATGCGATTTTGTCACTTATCTACATAGTATAACGTGTGTAGCATTTCAATAGCATCGAAATTATAATGAGGTCTATTAAAAACATAATTTTAGTCCATCGTATGATACACCGTAATATTTTAATACAGTTACATTACTTTGCCATCATTTCACTAAAAATAACGTTATGTGGCTATCATTATATTTAATATTATAATAATATAACAATATTGAATAATGTACGTGCCTATATATGAAAGTATAATAATTATTGAAGATTTTAGATTTAAAA